AGTTTTAATCAATACCAGCCACTACTTTAAATAGGTCTTTCACATGATGTCATATGTCCCAGCGACTGCTTTGTATATCAAATTAAAATGTTGTATAAAACGGCATAGAATGATAAGAGCGATAAGATGTTACATCACTTGACTTTGTCCCATAGGTTTCTTAAGAGATGATTATGAACAAGTTTTGAAATTCAGACATAAATTCGTAATACATCTGTTTAATGTCGGGCTTACTTTAAGGACTACTAAGGACTTACTTACGCTTTAAGGAGAACAAGCAATGTGTAGCTCTTTTAAATGAATCTCCTAATAGCACGGTATCTTTTTTGAGAGGTAACCGAACGCAAAAACGCCCATCATCAAGACGAGACGTATTAGGTACTTATAAAATGATCCTCACACAACTTCTTCTCAGGTGAATAATGATGATTTGAAACTTATTTCTTCCAGCTGCCCAAGCCGCGTTATATCGATTCGAATATTAACCTTATTATCGCCACAAAAATAAAAATAAATTTTAGCGAAGTTGCGTCGTAGATCATTAGACATCACTGAAAAGTGATGAATAGAAAGAAAGAAAGAAAGAAAGAAAAAACATTTATTCACGGTCTAATCGTAATAGATACAAAACAAAGCAAGAAATTGGAATTAAACAGAAAATAAAACAATATTTCCATAAATTAACAAAAATGTATAAAAATAATATAAAATGAGTCTGTGTAGCAGCATAAGACCGTGAAATGGACAGGACTCAGTAAAAATCGAGATACAGAAACACGAATTGCTCTGATCCCGACACTGGTTTTCAGTCCGGCCCGCATACTGATTGGGACAGAAATTATCCACCCCAGCCTGGTTTCACGCAGAATGGGCTTATTACTTTCTAACCCATTTCTTTGTGATCCTATCAAATTCCAAAAGAGATCAGCCTCGATTAAAATATCGACACCGGCAGGCTTATAAAATGCAGGGCCAGCTAAGCAAATATTCGCAGGAAGTTGAAGGTTACTTAACTTAAGCTTAATTCGCGACCTGGGGTTTTGCTAGTAATTAATGGCAAAATGAAACAATTAATGTTAGCGGAATAACTATTATTTAATGGCTTTAAATGGACCTAACACTTTTTGCTTATATGAGAATACGCGCTATCAATGCCCAAAATCGACTTATCTATTACGACACAATCAAAGTTTAATCGTTTACGCGTATTATCGAATAAGAACGTAAATGGCAGATGTATTTACATATTTGTAATAAAGTTGATTGAGAGGGACTAAAAATATATAAGTGTAAGTATTTCAAACATTTTTAGAATTGTCTTTCTGTCTGTCTGTTCGTTTGTTAACGTATCATGTATAAAATTCTGATTAATATCAAAATAATCCTGAAGCGTATTTTCGTTTTACGTTTAGTCTTTGTTTAATAAAATCAGTTTATCCTATCAAATTTTATGATTAATATTATGAAGTATGAGTACGAAGTATAGGTCTGTACGAATTTGTTCAATGGTGGAGTTGCGTGATCAAGGGCACTTTTGTAATTAAATAATGTAAATTAGTGTTCTATAATTATATAGCTTCATCGAAACAGTAAACGAGAATAATAAAGATAACGTATTAATGATTTCTTATATTTACGCGAACACTACACATTGAAATAATACTAGTTTTTACGGAATGTATCGCGTTTATTTAACTTTTTAATTACCCGACGCGACGTTTCGAACGCTTTACAGCACTCATGGTCACGGGCAGGACTGAGATGTTCAACGTCTATATGTCATAGTTAACCGCGGTTACCATAGAATTAAATTTATTATTATTATATAGAAATACTTATGGTATCTTGAAGTCTTGCAGTTGTATGCTTGGGTTGGGATTTAATTTTATTTATTATAGGATCCCAAGCAGATTGTAGCACCCAGCCATCCTCTCTATTGAAATTAGGCTAATTACCCAGCCATCCTCTCTAACTCCATTGTGAACTGAATTTTATAGTTTATAGAGTTAAGATGGTCTAAAAATGCAGTTACTTTATCTAAAGGTAGAATTGTGAAAGTGTCGTCTACGTACTGCTTGTAGAACCTTGGATTTATGGGAGAACTAAGTCTGTGAACACGTACAGGATCGCCCCCGTCACTACATCAGATTTGATAGACCGCAGATCCTCGCTAAAGAACACCGATTCCTTCCAAGGATGATTCGCGAGGCTATTGAAATCAAAAAACATCCTAATTTCAATAGAGAGGATGGCTGGGTGCTACCATCTGCTTGGGATCCTATAATAAATAAAATTAAATCCCAACCCAAGCATACAACTGCAAGACTTCAAGATACCATAAGTTCATACTGCATAGATGGAACAAAAGTTAAATTTTAATCTATGGTAACCGCGGTTAACTATGACATATGGACGTTGAACATCTCAGTCCTGCCCGTGACCATGAGTGCTGTAAAGCGTTCGAAACGTCGGGTAATTAAAAAGTTAAATACACGCGATAAATTCCGTAAAAACTAGTATTATTTCAATAACGTATTAAATTTACTTATTAAATTTATTAGCCACGGCGGCCTGCCTAAACGGAGGCTAGCCATCGGAGCAGGACAGGATTATAGTGCCCAATTGTGTGGGCTAGCACAGGTGCACTCTCTATTCCCTCACTCTCATAAACCGATGGGACGGTAAGCCGACACGACCGGAGAGAGATCGGGCGCAGGACCAACGGCTTTACGTGCTTTCCGAGGCACGGGGGTGAGACACCGCCAACTTCCTGACTCCGGGCAACTACTGAGAATTTCTTGACGGAAAAACTCAATAATTAATTTTTTTACCCGACCCGGGATTCGAACCCAGGACCTCATAATCAGCAGTCGCACTACTACAACCACTAGACCAACTAGGCAGTCACATTCACATTTATATATATTGTTATAGTGGCCACACATTCAGAACACAGTCAGATCAGTTGGAATGACCAGTTTAACTGACCGTGTCTGGCGTCCATTACATAGGCTGCACTAAAAGTATCGGGAATGGAATATTTCCACTGTTCCTGTCATATTAAAATAATTTTAATTGAAAACTCCTTGGTTTTAAAAATCGAATACCATTTATTTATTTAAAAAAAGATTCTCGGTCTTGTCACAAGGTTTTGTCAAACTTGTTTAGTCGTTGAGAAAATGGAATTAACTCGAGAAAATTCAAGAGCGATGATTTATTATGACTTTCGAAGTGGTTTAACACAAAAACAGTGTGTTGACCGGATGATTTCTGCATTTGATGATGAAGCCCCATCCAAAACCACAATTTATCGCTGGTTTGCTGAATTTCAACGTGGACGTGTCAAGCTCAGTGATGATCCCCGTTAAGGTCGTCCATAAACTACAGTCACCCAAGAAAACGTTGATGCTGTGCGTAAGCTGATTGAGGAAGATCGACATGTGACATACCGCGAAATTCAAGCAACTTTAGACATTGGCATGAGTCAAACTCTTGCATGAACAATTAGGTGTAAAAAAGTTGTTTTCCCGATGGATATCGCATTCGCTCTGTGAAGAGCAAAAAGCGGCTCGCGTTACTTGGTGCGTCAGAACTCTCGAAAGATTCCACGCAGGATCCTCAAATGCTGTATACAACATCGTATCAGGTGACGAATCCTAGATATACTCGTACGAACCCGAAACAAAAAACCAGTTACGAGTTTGAGTGTTCGAAAATGAGTTAAAGCCAACAAAAATTGTTCGTTCACGGAGTGTTGCAAAAAAAAATGGTGGCCACGTTTGTCTCCAAAGCTGGCCATGTTACGACTATTCCTCTTGAGGGACAAGGAACGGTTAATACAGAATGGTATGCTAGCATTTGTTTGCCACAGGTCGTTTCTGAACTCCGTAAAGAGAACTGCAACCGCAGCATCATCCTGCATCACGACAATGCGAGTTCTCACACCGCACACAGAATAAAAGAGTTTTTAGAGCAAGAAAACATAAAATTATTAGACCATCCGCCGTACAGCCCCGACCTAAGCCCTAATGATTTCTATACTTTCCCTAAAATAAAGAATAAATTGCGTGGACAGAAATTTTCATCACCTGAAGAAGCTGTGGACGCCCACAAAACGGCCATTTTGGATACCCCAACTTCCGAAAGGAATGGTTGCTTCAATGATTGGTTCCATCGTATGGAAAAATGTGTTAAATTTCGCGGAGAATACTTCGAAAAACAATAAATACATTTTTAAATAGTAATATTGTGTCACTTCCTTGATTCCCGAAATTTTCAGTGCCGCCCTCGTAAAAGAGGGTGTAAATCAAGAGTGGCGGCACCGCGGCATCATTATATCACAGCGGCATTATATGGAAGGCTTCTGGCGTCACTCACCCCTTTTTGCCATCGATCATCACGGAGTGCGGAAGCCCTGCTCGAATACCTAGTGTCATTATTTCAAATCTTTAATTTTTGTTAGCATGTTTTAAGTAAGCAATTATTTGTTTGGCTGAAGGCCATTAAAATCTTTTTAAACATTGATTAAAACTACTCTTACGGATTTTATCGCGTTTTATTTATTTTTAATACCCGATGTTTCGGGTGCTTGGGTTTATAGCATTATTATTAGCATACCACTGCAAGACTTCAAAACACAGTTAGTTCATTCTGCGTAGATCGGACCAAAGACAATAATTAAAAATCTGAAGGTACTCCGGGTTAACTTTGACATCGGGACGTCAGTCACCTCAGTCCCCCGTGACCATGGGTGCTGCGACCTTTACAAATAATAAATATAAATAAATTGTTCAAAACTTACATTAAAATTGACGTGGAGTGTCGCGGGTTGGAATCTCGCACGTAATAAATACGTAATAAAAAAAGAAAGGATACAGAATATAAATAAAAAATACCTTTAACCTATTTTTTTATTACTTTAAAGAGGTATTTCATTGTCTTAGAACATTGTGGAACAGTGTTAAATACTGTTTGATCTAAGTAATATATTTTGGGATCTATTATAATTTACTTGTTACAGTCTTGGCCATCTCTCGTAAATTCTTTCGAAGGATTTTTCCACTAGAAGTTTTTGGGATCTCTTTTACGAATTTCACACCACCTCTTAAACGTTTTGGATTGGACAACTGTAAATAAAGAGCTGTATTAATTTCAGTGAAGACACGATTTAGTATAATTTTTTTAGTATACTTAAATTACCATTAAGTAATCAATATTACCAATTACTTTTGCAGCTATAGTTTAAAAAACAGTTGGGTAAGTAAAGAGGTAGAAAATCAATCATATATCGGGTTGAACTGTTATCATTCGAATAAAATTCGACTAGTATCTAAAAATACCCAGACTGCTGACGGAGGGTGTTTTACACGAATTGTTGTGTCAAAGACTGACGTAGCGGCGCTGTCTCATTCTACACTCGAAACGCACCAAAGCCTTAATCCCACTATCAAAGATTCGAATTCCGAAAATATAGAGATTAGTTTTACACGGAGCGGCTGAACACCTTGCCTGGCGGGGGATCTTCCCTTTTTCTTCCACGGCTAAAATTCTATTTATGCTATATGTCAAAGACGTCTCTTATGCTACATAGAATTTCTTGTGTTGTGTTAAGTGCCAACACAATACAGTGATGATGTAAAGATTACTGCTGGAAGGATAATAACCTTATTAATAAATGTTGAAATAACAACCAGAAATTTACCGTGGGATATACGTTTGATTGCACTTGTTTGTAATGAATAGAATTAGAAACTAAATGAAAGACAATAAATGTCCGTATTGTGGTGGCATACGAAAATCCTGTCATACTATTGCATTCTTTGGATGTCGTTAGTGGCGACTATTGTAAAAATATTATAGCTTCCGGTAGATAGCGAAATAACCAACCCGGTAATGCTAGACGTAAATTCCCCGGACCTGCGACCGGCAACAGCCTCAAAGATACAAGACGTCTGAAAATGGAGACGATGCTCTTAACACTTACATGATGACATGTAATCTCGGGTTTGATACTGGGTCGGGCCAAAATCAGTTATAAGGTTTTTTGTCAAGAAATTCGCAGTAGCAGCCCGGAGTCAAGAAGTTAGCGGTGTATCACTTCTATGCTTCTGAAAACACGTAAAGCCGTTGGTCACGCGACTGATCTCTCTCCGGTCGTGTGGAAGTGCTGCTCAATAGAACTATGCGAACGAGAGACGAGAACTGACTGAAGAGACTGTCCTGCGCAGATATCTCTCTAGTCTCCGTCAAGATTAGCCGTCATGCCCGAAATTAGGTCTGGTAGACGTTGTAACATAATTGCGTGCCGGCATTAATCTAACGTCATGAGCTATTTCTGGCCCTTCCCACATACGCCCCTTACGATGATACCGACCAACGGGAAGATATGATGACAATCTCTCTTACATATCCACAACACGGCATGGACACAAATATTATTTAAATAATAAAATTAAGTAGAAAAAATAATGTAATGCAGCTTTCTACACTGCACCAGCGATAAAAATGGTCCTTGTAAAAACATCCAAGAACTCACCCTTTCAGCTACAAACTCCTGCAGCTCGGTATCGGTTAGGTTAGCGCCGGGTTGAGGTACTACAAATGCGAGAGGCATCTCGCCTGCTACTGCATCAGGCATTCCCACGACGCCTGCGTCACGAACGCCATTATGTTTGAGAAGTACTGCTTCTATCTCCATTGGCGCCACCTGACATAACATAGAAATTATGAGTAGTTTATGGTTTTTAGTCTGTTGCAACCCTATGTAATCACACTCTCAATCAACTTGCCCCCAGTCCCCTAAACTAACTATTATTTTTAATATAAGTGAGGATGGCCCTTTGTTTTGTGACATGCCTTTGTTTAGCAGTGAACTTATCAATGTACTTATGGGCTGTATGGATTGATGGCTAAAGTATGGGTGACAAAGGACAGTACCACCTAATAGTAAGTGGATGTTGTGGCCCATAGGCTAGATGTAATTTTTCCTCGATTGAATATCAAATTGCAGGTAGAGGCACTCCTAAGGACAGGATGTTATATATAATATACAAGTAAAAAGGAATTCCATTTTACTGATAGCTAAGAAGCGATTTGTCATTCATTATTAAAACACAGCAGCAACATTACTATTTTATGTTTTATTCTGCAATAGCCTGGTTTTCTTCGGACGATTTAACCCATTCGTGATAGAGCCGTAATAGCTACAGCGTAACTATAGTGCGTTAGAAAAATATTTTTACAAATGTGGGTTCTGGCTGAGGTTCAAATCAGGACATGTAGTGTTATAGTCAAGCAAATGGCCCTCAAATGGCCCTCAAAAGCCCATAAATGTCAACTGCTAAACGTCGGTTTCATCTGTGGATGTGTCGCTGGCTTGGAATTTTTGCCGACCAGGCAGGTTATTTTACGCCAAACTTAAACGAAATGGGTATGTCACCACCTATCGGAAGCTATAAAATTTCCCAAAGACGCTTGTTACGACACTCGTAGCACGTAATTGGGTAATGGATCTTACGCTGCCACCCCACGGCTAAGCGTATTAAAAAAAGTAAAGTAAAGTAAATTTACGGCCTATATACGTCCCACTGCTGGGCACAGGCCTCCCCTCATTTCTGAGAGGGTTTTAGGGCAAGGAAGTATCCGCCGCGCTGCCCAATGCGTGTTGGCGAAATTCACATATCTTCGAAATATTTTTTTCTTATTCCTCAGACATGCAGGTTTCCTCACGATGTTTTCTTCCTTCACCGCCGAGCGCGTGGTAAATCAGCACCTAAAATTGCAATTCACAATTTTTGCCGGCGGGGATTGAGCCCGGGTTACTCGGGTTCTGTTATATTTACAGCGAGCGTTAACCATCTGTGCTACCGAGGCTTGGCGTATTAAAAATAACCTTATAAAATTAATTTTAGAACTTGAATTCTAATTTTATAATTTAGAAAACACAGTAAAAAGTAAAAAAAATACTAATATAATACCGAAATAGATTAATTTTGGCCACACCAAGTTAACTGTATTTAGTGCCAAATCGATTGAGAAAAACGGACAATGACCTCAGATATGAGCTGAGTGTCAAAACTTACAAAATCTCACTTTAGATGTGATAACACTATTTGAATATTGATATTATTCACACTTCTAGGTCAGCACACGTTTTTTTTGTTTCTTAAATAATATTATCTGTGGTTCCTATAAACATCGTAAGATTTTACGCTACATCGTGAAAAATGTGTAATATTTTATATTTCAATTTATGGTAAGTAACGCAGCTATTTATTTAATATCAGTTCATATTAAAAAAATATTTGAAGCAATATAATCACCATATTGAGCTTTTGCAAATTCATTCCTTTAAAATAAACAAAACGCACGTTACGTCAGTTCGTTCTAAAGGAAACGTGACAATTGCAGCCGATTCGTCACTTTTTTTGGGCCGGTCTGCATGCCACGAATAAAGTTCTTACATAATATTGAAAATAAAGTTTTATCTTTTGAATAAGAACGTACTTATTCGGTGTCGTTATCACTCGAATCTTTATATGTGTTATAAATTAATGCTTTTTGTTGTTAAATGAATAAATTAGTTCATAACAATAGATGATTTTTCTTCTTTTACATAACTTTTTTAATAATAGTTATTAAAAAGTTATGTAATAGATATGTTATATCAATCATTATAAAAAAATAAAAAATCATTATAAATAAAGAAAGTACTATATATAAAATGTGCCTATATATTGAAGGTTTGTAACCCCTGGTTAAACGACCGAAAGGTCATTGTCCGTTTTTCTCAATCGATTTGGCACGTACTATAGCAAATTATTTTCTTCCTTATCTAACGTAGACTAATGCTCACGATTGGTTATCTACCGATCTTTTAAAGTACAATTCTTAGGTTCCAACCGAGAGACAAGTAGGAAGTCAAGACTATTAGAAACTAAATACTTGTAAAATCAATACGCTCCTTTTTTTTAAATACATCCAAATTTCCGATGATATCCCGGACGTCAGTCTAAGCGAGATTAGAATGGCTCTCCAGCACCTTAAAAACGGCAGGGCCCCAGGCGAGGATGGAATTACAGCGGAGCTTCTGAAAGCGGGTGGAACACCGGTACTTGAAGTCCTTCGGAAGCTCTTCAATTCCGTCCTCCATGGTGGCACTACTCCAGAGGCGTGGAGCAGAAGTGCGGTGGTCTTGTTCTTTAAGAAAGGCGACAACGCTCTCTTAAAGAACTACAGACCGATTTCCCTTCTGAGCCGCGTCTACGTGCTGTTTTCGAGAGTCATTACGAATCGTCTCGCACGCAGACTTGACGACTTCCAGCCTCCCGAACAAGCCGGTTTCCGAAAAGGCTTCAGTACCATAGACCACATACATACCCTGCGGCAGATTGTACAGAAGACTGAAGAGTACAATCTGCCACTTTGCCTGGCGTATGTGGACTATGAGAAAGCCTTTGATTCCGTCGAAATTTGGGCGGTGCTACAGTCCCTTCAGCGGTGCCAAGTTGACTGTCGGTATATCGAAGTGCTGAAGTGTTTGTACAGTAGGGCTACGATGGCTATCCGAGTACAGAACCAGAGCTCGAAACCTATCCAACTGCAGAGAGGTGTAAGACAGGGTGACGTTATATCCCCGAAACTCTTCACCGCTGCATTGGAAGACGTTTTCAAGCTACTGGACTGGAAAGGATACGGTATTGACATCAATGGCGAGTACATCACTCACCTTCGATTTGCCGACGATATAGTCCTTATGGCAGAATCGCTGGAGGACTTAAGCACTATGCTCAATGACCTCAATAGTGCCTCCCAACGGATAGGTCTTAAGATGAACATGGACAAAACAAAGATCATGTTCAATGTCCATGTCACACCTATGCCGGTAGTTGTTGGGAGCACTATGCTCGAAGTTGTTGACGAATACGTTTACCTGGGACAAATAGTCCGACTAGGTAAGTCCAACTTCGACCGAGAGGTCAATCGACGGATTCAACTCGGCTGGGCAGCGTTCGGGAAATTACGGCATATCTTTTCGTCAGGTATACCTCAATCTCTAAAAACTAGATTGTACAACCAGTGCGTGTTGCCAGTGATGACTTACGGATCTGAGACGTGGTCCTTCACTGCTGGCCGTATGAGGACGCTTAAGGTCGCTCAGCGAGCTATGGAGAGGGCTATGCTCGGAGTTTCTCTGCGTGATAGACTCAGAAATGAGGATATCCGCAGTAAAACCAGAGTGACCGACATAGCCCAACGGATTAGTAAGCTGAAGTGGCAATGGGCCGGCCATATAGCTCGAAGAACCGATAACCGATGGGGAAGAAAGGTTCTCGAGTGGCAGCCTCGTACCGGTAGGCGTAGTGTAGGGCGACCCCCCACTAGATGGAGTGACGACCTGGTAAGACATGCAGGAAGTCGATGGATGCAGGTGGCTCAGGACCGTGCTTTGTGGCATTACTTGGGGGAGGCCTATGTTCAGCAGTGGACTTGTGAAGGGCTGTAATGATGATGATGATGACATCCAAATTTATACACGTTTATACTCGTGCAGGGTTTTTTTTTCAAAAAGTAGCCAAGTTTTGTACTTAAATTTAAATGTATAAATAACAATATATAGTTTATGCAGTTTTTCGAAATACGAGTAAATTAAATGCTACTTTTGTTTAAAATTATCTCAAATTGAATGTAATGATTTCTTATAATATCGCGATAAAATCCGTAAAAGTAGTTTTAATCAAATTGAATGTGTTTTATGGGTAACAACTACGCATACGCGTGCTCCTCAGTGTACGATTCAATTCACAACGTTTTGTCGACCTTACGAATGTATGCGTGCGTATTAAAATAGTAGGCGTAATATATTTATGAATGACAATAAGTTAAAATAATGTATTACCAAGCACTTTGGATTTTTCTTCACCATTCCCCTTTATTACTCATTTTGAACCTTTTCTGCAAATTCGGACGTATAGTGCAAAATAAGCGTAAAATGGACACCCGTTATATAAAACGCGTACAAAACACGATTTAATTGTTGAAAATATCTCTAATTCAGTAATACCTAAATGATACAGGCTAATGATATAAAGAAACAATTTATCTGCTCTGAATACCTGATAGGCTTTGTACTTTATAAGTTCTTTAAGTCGATCTACAATAAAAAAATATTTATCGTCGTCATAGTAACCGATGTCGCCAGTTTTGAAAAAACCTTCTTCGTCGAAATAATCACCGCTATTATGTTCCTCTCCTATGTAGCCTTTCATTATCAGGACTCCTTTTACGCATATTTCACCTGTCTGGTTTGGACCTAAGACTTTTCCCGTTTTTATATCCACAATCTGAAACAAGTGGTTTAATTAACTTTTGGTTCTGCAACTTTAAATTTTGTATTAATTATAATAAATAATATTTATTTTGTCTTAATTGTATTTGCCCATTAAGTGTGCATAAGATTTGGACGAAAAGTAGGTAAACGAAGAAAATTTATTGTATCATTTGCTAAGCAGCAGAGATAGGGTAAAGCCCAGGCCCATTATTGGTCTTGGGCTTATTATATGTGAATGATATGTGTAAAGTGTATCTTTAAAGATGGCCCCATTAACCAATTTGCAGATACATGTCTGATAGCTGCGCGTAATAACTTATTTAAAACGCAAGAATTGATGCAACTTAACTATGATCAGCTGTGCAAATAGGCACATGACGTTGGGCTGGTAATCAATGCCCAAAAAACTAAACTGATGCCTATACACTCAATCTACATAAAATATGATATACAACCGACCATCATTGCACATGAACACAGCTATCTGCATCAGAAAAACATCAGATGTAATTTAATGATTTCTTATATTTACGCGAACATTGCACATGATTAAAACTACTTTTACGGATTTTATCGCGTTTATTTTTTCTTACTTTTTATTTTTATTTTTAATTCCCGACGTTTCGGGCGCTTTCCAGCACCCATGGTCACGGGGGACTGAGATGACTGACGTCCCGATGTCATTGTTAAACCCGGAGTACCTTCAGCTTTTTTAATTATTGTTTATGGTCCGATCTATGCAAAATGAACTGACTATGTCCTGAGGTCTTGCAGTGGTATGCTTGGGTTTAGTTTTAATTTTGTGGTAGTACCCAGCCTCCTTCTCTATTGAAATTAGGATGTTTTTTAATTTCAATAGCCTCACGTATCACCCTTGGTAGGAATCGGTGTTCTTTCGCGAGGATTTGTGGTCTATCAAATCTGATGTAATGGTTGGGGCCGTCTAGGATATGATCACAGTCACACAGGGAAGTCTGCAGTTTGTGATCATATCCTAGACGGCCCCAACCATTACATCAGATTTGATAGACCACAAATCCTCGCGAAAGAACACCGATTCCTACCAAGGATGATACGTGAGGCTATTGAAATTAAAAAACATCCTAATTTCAATAGAGAAGGAGGCTGGGTACTACCACCTGCTTGGGATCCTATAATCAATAAAATTAAAACTAAACCCAAGCATACCACTGCAAGACCTCAGGACATAGTCAGTTCATTTTGTATAGATCGGACCATAAACAATAATTAAAAAAGCTGAAGGTACTCCGGGTCTAACAATGACATCGGGACGTCAGTCATCTCAGTCCCCCGTGACCATGGGTGCTGGAAAGCGCCCGAAACGTCGGGAATTAAAAATAAAAATAAAAAGTAAGAAAAAATAAACGCGATAAAATCCGTAAAAAGTAGTTTTAATCATCAGATGTAATTACTGTAACCCCTTGGAAATGGTTGATCAGCATATATATTTATACCTTATAATAGATAGTAAATTTAACTGAAGACCACATGTTACTAACATTTATAACAAACTAAGAGCAATACTTTGTAATTTAACAATACTTAAGTATAAAATTCCTAACCAAACATTGATACTTTTATATTTGGCGTTAGCAAATTCAATAATAAACTATAGACTTAGTAGCTAAAGCAGAAATAATAAAACTTATATACAAGAAATTTATAAAATACAATTAAAAATCTTAAACGCAAATAGTTCCCAACTATGTTAAGTAACGGTACAGACATGATGATTCAAACTTGTTTAAATATTGTAGAACATTAAATTCAATTGGCAGACCTATATGAAGAGTGGGAACAGTTGAGTAAATAAAAAAAATATAGCAGACCAGATACCCTACGTAAGTTGCAAAGCTTACCTAAATTTAAGCATCCAATTTACAAAAATATTTATGGCAAGCACACATGGTCCCAGAACTTCCACCCACTTTTTTAAACTAGGGCCGATGCAGATGTAAAGGAGAAACCTTTTGCTAGCATCTTAAACGGAGCGGAGTAAAAGTGTAAAGCGCACATTTTTGCTTTACATGTATTTCCCCATGGGCAATTTAGTTTTTGGTTATTTTTAATATCTTTTAGACAAATTCAACAGACAAATTCAAGATTTGCAAACCTTGTCTGCGTTGGGCTACAAATATTGCCGAAAAGATTATCTAAATTGGCCTGCGGTTTACGGAGGAGATAGATTTCAAAAAATCGTTTTCTTGTGCCATGGGAGCTCCAATAAGGTAAAATATTATAAAGTAAAAATAGCTAAAAAACACTAAAAGGGTTTCTAATAAAATAACTATATGGTTGATATGGTATGTTATGTGTACGTTTTACTATTATAGGTTAGTATAACATATTAATAGTATATTAGATGATAACATAATTACTGTAAAATGCATTATCTCATGTATTTATACCCGATTTAACTCAAATTTATATATTTATAGTGATTAGCTGATTAGTTAATAAAAATATAAATCTACCATTATTATCAATAATAGTTTATATATGGTAATAGTTTATAGTTGATAGACCACAGCAATTAAACGGTGTGTGGTTTTTGCTGTAGGGCTAAAAATATTCACTTTGTGTATCAGTTTGTTTCTTATATTCAAAATATTATATATATATATATATATATATATATATATATATATATATATATAAAACTAACTAAACTGAAATACCTTCGCCGGATTATTTTTTGTGCTTGCACCAATGAAATGGTTATACCGATCTCTAAAATCTTTCCGACGTTACTCTGTAGTTTATGATAACATCGGAAAGATTATACTATGATTTTATTACGATTTTACTATAATAGCTACAAGTAGAGATCATAGTATGCACTCGTTAATTCTGCTACCAAAAAACCAAATCAAGTTTAATAACATACAGTCGCTCTTGATCTCCGAACTGCGTAAACTACATTCCTTACCTTGGTTGTATTCCGTATCTTTTTTTATTTCACACATGAAAAGGTAAATCTGATATTCAAAAATCGAATTAGTTACGGTGATGCTCATATCATCGAGGAGCCTATGACCTATCTTGTCGGTTATATTATGCATTGTGTACGTTGCCTAAAGTTTGGTTTGGCAATCACTAAACCGCTAACATGCTTTAAAATTACTGTGAATCTGTTCGTCTGCTTTTTTAACTAGCAGACATTTATTTCGTGGAGTTGTGAGTTGCCGATACTAACTACATTAAGCTGATGGGTTGGTTGACCGGACCTATTCCTACACCTTATTTACAAATACACCTACTAGTCTTTAAAGAGGTATAAACATGATTACCAGAGTAATTAACATTTTGACTAATCCATATAGAGTAGTCAACATTTTGACTAATTATTATAAACATGATTAGTTAAAATGTTTTCTACGGGTTTATAATAATGAAGACATCATCACCATCTTCTTGAAGCAGTTTCAAAGGTGCGAAACGTTTGGTACTGCTATCTTCACTGTGCCACCGTCATTGCCAATAAAGGTAAATCCTTACAATAATTGGAGGGAGACCTTTTACTTTACTTTTACTGCTTGTAATTAGTAGACTTTTGGAAGCTGACAAATAAACAGATACCTTTATAACAGTGTTCTTGACGATGTATCCAACTCCACCTGGCTTTGCTAAGTGCGCCATTTCATAAGTATCCCGCGTAACTCCAAGAGTTGATTCAGTCAATCCATAGCCTTGTAATACCGCTTTTACCTTTGGAAATCTGTAACGGGTTATTTTATTGTAGTTTGTTTTCAATATGTTTCAATTTGTGCCGAAAACACACATTTTTGGCGTTGGAGCGTTAACATAAAGCGTGTATGAAATATGTGGATGTAGGTGACTCAGAGCCGTATCTTATGTCATTCTTTGGAGGAGACCTATATCCAGCATTGGATTGTGAATGTTTGTAGCTGTAATGATAATTATGATGAAAAACAAAAACGCTTTAATAAGAAATATAATTTCTTAATGATTTCACATTATGACATTTAAATAATACTAGTTTTTACGGATTTTATACGGAAACACACCGAAGCTTAAATCACGCTATCAACATTCCGAATCATAAACAGCATATATAGAACATCTCCGAACTATCACACGAAGTGTTGGCCGCTCCCCGGACAGAACACCTTGCCCGGTGGGCGATCTCCCCTTTTCCTTCCACGGCCACAGTGGTGACCCCGATGTGATCTGAACACGCAACCAACAACCTTCGGAAACTACAATTTCAAGCTTCGTCATTATCCTCAAGAACCCCTACCATTCACTACTGAGAATCGTCTTCTGCAGTCTGCAGTTCCTGCAAGCCAGTCCAACTTGTCTTCATCTCGACTCACCGCAGATTTATAAGGCAGACTTCTGGCACTTGCTCCGGCACATCGTTCTCACCGGCATCACTTGCCAGTGCGTAGTACGGCATGCATTACACATCGGCATATCATTCGCATCGGTGTCACTTGCCCTTACGCACACAGCATGCATTCCCCACCGGCATTAAAAGGACACACCGGCAATCGGACTGCACTATCGACCTGGTCTGAGCAGGGGGGTGATGTGGTGGCGCTGTCGTCGCGCCGCAAGCGAAACACACCGAAGCTTTAAATCACGCTATCAACATTCCGAATCATAAACAGCATATATAGAACATCTCCGAACTATCACACGGAGTGTTGGCCACTCCCCGGGCAGAACACCTTGCCCGGCGGGAGATCTCCCCTTTTCCTTCCACGGCCACACTATAAATACCAGACGTTTCGAGCGCTTTGCAGCACCCATGGTCCCTTAGTCCCCCCAGTGACCATGGGTGCTGTAAAGCGCTCGAAACGTGCAATACAATACACGATACTTATTCATAATTACGAAATTGAACAATGAAGTAAAAGAAGAAAAATGTTTATGACGTCTGTATTATTGTAAACACCTACAACTACTCGCACGTAGAAATGTTCACACAAACAAAAATAAATTACAACAAAAACACCATAATACCTTTCTCGTACAGCTTTAATAGTATCGCTGTGGAGAGGTGCTGCACCGGAGTATATCAGTTTGACCGAACTAACATCATGATGGGATTGATGTTTGCAAAGTGCGACTAGTAACGGCGGGACCACAGTTAGCTGGCTAATCTGTTACATCAAATAGAAATTTTTTAAACAATTTTATAACTGCGATAACTACATTTAATATGACCTTATTTTCACCTTATCAGCTGCTGGTGTTGGGTCTCTTATAATAAGGTAACATTTTACGAAATCACCACGCTTGTCGATCACAGCGTTAGACGTTGCTCTTTTATGAAATGAAATTAATGATTTTATTCAATATAGATTAATGTATAATATTTAATTGAAAGTAATTTTTTATTTACCTTTGGTTTGGAAAAAACCTCTGCCCTGGGAAAAACAGCAAGAAACCCAGCGGGACTTTTTTAAACATATTTCACTTAACAATAAATTTATTGTGTAAATTTTTTAATGAATTTTTATAGAACCAGCATGATGGTGATCTCCTCATTCCCAGGGGTTATTTTCATTTCTGTATTCTTTAAAATTATAATAACCCTTTTTGTACAATTTTTCTTTAATAAAACATTTAAACTTATTTAATGACAAATTTGATGAATTTTTCTGGGATTTTGTTGCGGAGTCTAGTAACTGGTATTACAAGCTTATGTTTGTTCCTAGTGTTAAAAGTATGAACATCTTTATTCTTATGAAGGCTATTTATGTTTTATGTACATACATTACTTTTTCATAAATATATTGCGATGTCAAAGTTAATATGTTTCTTTAAATTTTTCTCTAAGGCGCGTTTTACAATTTTAGTTATAAATCGTTCGTATAGCTCTCTTTTGCAAAACAAATATTACTTCAATTTCAGTCACATTACCCCATAGTAAGATTTAATAAGATATTACGCTATGAAAGTAACTAAAATAAACTAATCTAGCTGTCTCAACATTGGTGAGACTTCTAATCTTTCTTCCAGCATATGCTGCAAAACTAGTCTGCCTGCTAATTTAGATATATGGGGGCCCCATTAAAGCTTCACGTCAATAGTAAAACCAAGAAAAACAGTCACATTCACAAGACTCAAGTCTTCCCCATTTAAGAGCACATTGGTATTTGAATGTTTATCATTAAGTTGTGTAAATTTAATACATTTTGTCTTATTGCCATTTAAGAGCAAATTATTAGCATTATAATAATGAACTAATTTAGAGATAGCATTATTTACATTCTCAAAATTAATTGACTGTTGATTGAATTTGAAAATTAAAGAGATATCATCAACAAATAATATATCGTGGTTGCCCCTACAGGATAAGGTAAGTCATTAATATAGACTAAGAACAGGAATGGGCCAAGAATCAAGCCCTGAGGAGTACCCATAGATACTACTAATCCGGAGGAACTTTTACCATTAATAACAACTTTTGTGTTCTGTTATTTAAATATGAAATAATAAGTCTAAGCGTAATATTTTTGACACCATAATGTTTTAGTTTTCTGAATAATATCTCATGATGAACACAATCGAAAGCCTTGAAAACATCACAAAAAATACTTAAGGCATCTAGTGAACTCTTCCAGACATTAAAATATATTTCATAAGCTCGACACCTGCGTCAGTCGTTGAGCAACCCCTTGTGAAATCAAATTGATTTCATGGAGTAATATTTTTTATTAAAAAAAAAACAATTGATAAAAAATTATCTTTTCAAAAATTTTACTGGTAGTATGGAAATAGGTCTAAAATTATCGGGGTCCATTGTATTACCAGATTTCATAAAGGTATTACTTTACTATGTTTCATTAAATCAGGAAACACACCAGATTCGATACTAGTATTAAAATAATAGCAAGATGTGGTGCAGTGAAATCTTTTGTGGACGCAATAACTATAACGGAAATCCCCCATAAATCTGCGGTTTTCTTTACATCAAGGGTTTTGAAATATTTTACAATATCTTGTGGTAATACTTTTTCAAATCTAAATTCTTTTAAACAGGTATTAACATTCTATTTGAGTAATGAATAGGCGACAGTTGGAGAACTATTCAATAACTTTCAATATAGGAAGATCAGTGAAATATTCCTCAAACACTGCTGCAACTTTTTGATTCGATTTAGTCAATTCATTATTAATTTTTAATTGATAATAATTTGTGTAACGAGGTCTATCTTTATCGGTTTCGTTGTTGATTATATTCCACGTCATTTTATTTTTATTTTTAGCGGTCTGAATTTTGTTGGTAATATGTAAATATTTTGCTGTGGAGCACACTTTTTTAAACATTACAGAATAATTTTGACATATCTTCTAAAAGTATCGAATAGATTATATGATCTTTTATGGTAAAGTTCATATAATCTTCGTCTACTCTTATGAATTCCAACTGTCGCCCACTCATTAAATGACTTGCAACTATTACTGGATAATGTTTTAGAAGTAATTTTTTTATTAAAGTCATTGCTTATAAGGGTAAATATGGGTCTGGATATATATTATCTGACGTATTCTAAAATCGGAGATCATTCTATTCGATTGATTCTTTACATAGAAGGATTTATATTTTATTCAAGCGCACTTAAACACCGCTAAAGGATTAAATCTAAATGTCGCCTCCACTCGGCGAATATCCTTATTCAAATATCTTGATCACGTACTTTATAAGCTTATAGGTTTATCGGCGCTTTATAACTCTGAGTATTTGCGCTGATAAAACCAGGTTACTACACTAGGAGCTCGCTTTAAAATACATTGTCTTGGCATAATGATTTCTTATATTTACGCGAACATTGCACATGATTAAAACTACTTTTACGGATTTTATCGCGTTTATTTTTATAAAAAAAAATTTATATAAAAATAAACGCTTTTTAAAAAAAAAAAAATAAACGCGATAAAAGTCCGTAAAAGTAGTTTTAATCATGTACATTGTCTTGGGTCATAAACTGCGTCATCATTAGTGCTTGCTGGTAGCCATGTTAAAAATGGCTTTACTTAAACTAGGCTTTACTGGGACCGAGTCATCACCACAGGCCTAACTATTCTTGCGAGTAAGCCTGATATTCTGTGGATAGACTGGACATCGTCAAAGGTGTTTTTAGAGAAACTCGAGAAAGCCGAAACAGATAAGCAACCAAAATATGTCAATATGGCTCACGAGGTGACCGACATAAGGGTTGATTTGCCGACTGAAATTATTCCTGTAGTCGGTTTTGCAAAGTGTGAACGGGTTGATCTCGGTTAGCCTCGTCGGTGATCGTCCGCCGGTTTCTTTCTCTTTCACAATAATCCTACACCTCTCCTATTCCTAGTGTCCTCTACCAAAGGTTTCCGTCTGGCTAGGCTTTATCTATTTATTTAACTATATATAATTGAATATATTTTAAAAATAAATATTTTTATAGCATTGGATAATAAATGAGCACACAGTGCACCTGATGGTTAGTGGATGCTGTGGCCCATAGACATCTACATTTATCCTCAATTAAGGTTCAAAATGTAAATGTGTTGTCACCTTTGAGGACTAAGATGGAATGCCTCTATTCCAGTAAAAAGTTCTCCGGATCTCTACACTCACCATACGAAACACAACAACATTACGCTGCTAGTTTACGCTGGTATTCTATGAGAAATATATTTTATTCTATGTGTTTATAGTTTATGTTTATTTATTTTATAAGTATTTTTGTGAATCCACCAAGACAAGAAAGAAATAGAAATAACACAAAAATAATAATAAGAGCTTCCCTCTAGTTGAGGTTTATCTATTCTATTTATTAAAATATATTTGATTGCATTAAGTTTATATTTTATCTTAGTTATGTTTACTACAATACCAAAAAAAAAATAGGAATATCCGCACAATAATAGTAATCATCAGCCGGTAAGTGTACTGCTATATTTGGGTTAAGGTAAATCCTTTTGTTTAATTGTAGATGGTTATATCGTCACCTATTGGAAGTCATAAGAATTTCTGGTATTTCTTACAATCGCCTCTTACGCTTCTCTTCACCCAAGGGATGAAATGGGGTGATGTTATTCTCTTACATCACCATTAGGTCGTCAACCTTAACGCGACAGAGCTTTCTCTGTATATGTTATAGATACTGTGAATTCATCCATTCAATTATAAATCGCTAAAAATTAATAAAACTCAGACTATTACCTTATACAGTTCAATTGTATTTAAATAAGACTCCACATCAAACTTTTGCATAAAGACGAGTGATGTGCCCTTTGAAAAACACCGCAACGTCCCAATCAACCCCATCGTGTGATACCAGGGAGTGACTACAAGCATTGATGTATCTGGCTCAACAGTAGAAGGCCTGAAATATATTTTGAGATGTATTATTACATTTTTTATTAATTCCCTACTGGATATAGGTCTTTACAAAATATACCAAATACATAACCTGAAAGATATCTCCAATACTGACAAGGTTAGACATGACATGCTGCTTCCCCTTTTTGAGTCTGTGGAGTTTGAACTCGGGATTTTAGAATGAATATATCACCTTTGAGTACTTTCAGAGTTCCGTTGATTGAATAGCAATTTATAACACGTGCAGGAGAGATAAGCATTAAAACACTATTTTACATCTGCCTACAATTCATCTGGTCATTCATTTATTCATGACAACCTTTATAAATTCACTGCTAAACATATGTAGGTCTCACCCATAGATTGCATCGTAGGTGGAAGTATGCCGTAGATTCTACATTAAGCAGGGAGGGGATTCCCATTTTTTATTATTTTGATTTGTTATCAAGAAGTTGTTGCTGCCCTTCACCTGTTTCAGTCAATGTAACGATAGTCACAAAATATGCGACCCCGACCACAAATACTTTTGTTTTGTCAAAAAATTTTAATAAACTTTGACTAGTTATTGAAAATCGTCTCCAAATTTCGTTACGACACTTCGTTAAGGTTCATAAAAATGAAATACCTTGCTGTGTAGTGGTGGAGTAAGAGTATTCACTATCTCATATTATCTCGTCGGTGTCGTAAGAGGCGCTCATGCTGCATCATCTTCCTGATAACAGTTCAAAATATAAAGAAAATAAGGAGGGTAAACAAACTTATTAATATTATATTAGTAGTATAGTTGTAGCACGAATGGGTCGGCTCGACCGGGGAAGGACCACGCTCTCACAGAATACCAGCGTGAAATAGTAGCTTAATGCTGCTGTATTTCGTATGGTGAGTGTAGAGAACCGGAGACCCTTTTTACTGTAAAAAAAGGCATTCCATCTCAGTCCTCACGGGTGACAACGCATCTGCATTTTGATTTGTAATGGAAGATAGATGTAGATGTCTATGGGCCGCAGCAACCACTTACCATCAGGTGGACTGTGTGCTCGTTTGTCACCCTATCCTATAAAAAAAAAATACTTTTGTATGCACGACATAAGTAGGTACACAGATTAAAAAATGATAAAAAGTGGTTTCAACCAAATTAAGGTCACTTATAAGCTTTCATGCACGCCTGTGTACTGAGTCTAATGCTGCAAGTTGGTATTTTGTATAAAGTTGTCGTCTTTCTCTTTTCATTTAATGACAATAGAGAAAGACGCGTATAGAAATAATTAATACTTAATAATTTCAACAACGATTATAAGTAAGGTCGTAACCATTAGAAAAAAGTAAATTCACTTTTCTTCTACTCTGTACTAACCTACTTGTATAAATCATTGCTAAATACAGGTCATTTTTGAAATGCGTCAAGGAAGAATTGCTTGAAAAATTTGCCTATGCTCACCATGAGTGCAGAACAATTACCCTCTTATTAAAATAACCTATTTCCGCGGTATTTTTATCTAAAATTCGAAAGAAGATCGAAAATTAAGCATTTATTGTAACTTTTTTATGGTTTGGATTATTTTATCAGAACCATTAATTGATTGATTTTGATGAATTGATTTTATAGTGTTTCGGGTGCTTTACGGTACCCATGGTCATGAAGGACTGAGGTGACTGACGTCCCGATGTCAAAGTTAACCCGGTGTACCTTCAGCTTTTTAATTATTGTCTTTGGTCCGATCTACGCAGAAAGAACTGTTTTGAAGTCTTGCAGTGGTATGCTTGGGTTTGGTTTTAATTTTATTAATTATAGGGTTCCAAGCTGATAGTACCCAGCCTCCTTCTCTATTGAAATTAGGATGTTTATTAATTTCAATAGCCGATGGCAACTGTTGTTGTTTATAGGATTTTTGAGAAAAACATCATCGGGAAGCGTACCTTATATTTGCGACGAATTGCTGATTGAGAGTTATGTGGTCGACAAGATTGCTCGTTCGAATTTAATTAGTGTGAGAGAAAGGATTTGTGTGAAGCTGGTCAATGGGGCAATGTCGTACCGGGCCATGCCGCGTGCAGCTGGTCAAAAGGACACATCCGTCCGCTCCAGGCTCATGAACGTTTGATGTTGAGGGTTAGATTTGTGTGAAGCTGGTCGAATGGACGATGTCGTACTGGGCTATGCTACGCGACTGGTTGAAACTAAACATTCGTCTGGTCCATGCTTTTGAATTGTGGAGTTAAAATAGTCGAAGGGACAGTGTCATCTGGTCCATACGTGGTCGAAAGGACGCACATGTCCAGTCTAGTCAGGTTTGTCGAACAGAGTACAGATAACAGTAGAGGTAACAGTAGAGAGATAACAGTAGAGGTATCCGGTCCACGTTGTTGCAAGAGATGATGGCTGGTCAAAAGAACGCCTTAGCTAGTGTTAGTTTGCATGAGGTCAAACGCAATCTTGCGTATGTGTGATCGGTAGAAGTGGTGATTAATAGTGTTTGTTACAAGAATTCTTGAAGATACACGCTCGAGGACGGTCGTATATCAGGATTAGCCGTGTCGGCACATCTAGTTAGACTAAGAGTAAAAAGATTTTACTCTAGCGAAGCATCGTATTGTTGGTAACGTGGCAACTAATGTTGTTTATAGGATTTTTGAGAACATAAACGAGAAGCGTACCATAGAGCTTATGTAGTTAGGGCTTGTAGAGTAAGGGCGTGTAAATTTAGAAGCTTGACTCTACATGAGATCTGATAACTTTTCGACAATGCGAGCCATATGATCTCGTTTTAGCAACATTTTGCATGAAAATGTTTTTGGTGGAATATTTATTTTCTATATACGACATCATCAGGAAAAAAGCGCTCCGTATCACTGCTGATGCATTAAACTGATTAGCATTAAATATTTCACTGTAAGAGGTGTAAGACTCTAGCTTAGACTTTAGTAGGATTATAACCAAATTCACTTACTCTCCAAATGTTCGTCTACGTCATCCGAATACTAGTCAATAATATTACGTAGGTACACTTTCCAGGTCTGTTTTCATTATTGTTGTCTTGAAAATCCACAAAAAATTTGATATTCTTACTATATGCTTTTCTTTTAAATCCGAAATCCAAAACAGCTTATCAAACACAACGTTTAGCGTGTGAATTTAAAAAAATTGACTCTTTTACTCTAACTGAAAATTTTGAAGTAATCACCTATAGTTTATGTAACTGTATTCTGATCACACTCTAGTATTTAAGTTTTTAGTTTCTCCTCGTATATCTTTAACTTTTGATTCGATTGGTGCGTACGTTACCCACAAATTCTATTAATGACATAATCAACTAGTTGCCTTCATAAATATACTCTCGAAAAATTTTTACGAAAAAATAGTATCGAGTTTAGACGCTTTACTAAATAAATTTAGTGTCTCTTTTCGAAAATTATTTCTCACATCGTCATTTCCACTTAAACTTATGATATTTTCCTAATCTCATCATAATTATTTTCGAAGCTTTGACAGCTATTATCTTCACGGGTGGCTTGAGTTCTTTTATATCCACGAGGCCCTGGGCTGCAGCCCAAAAAGCCTATACATTGATACGCCCCTGACAATACATCGCACATATGACACAGTTCCGTTTGCGCACCGCTGTCGAACGGTAGTGCATACAGTCCGCGCTCCGTCCTCGTGCGGTGCCCCGCTCTCCCCGGCTCACACCGTCCGAGCAGTCGCCGTAGGTGAGTCACTTGTTTTTTCGCGCCGTTCTTACCCCCTCGCTTCGGCGGGGAGGTCTGAGCGCACTGTGCCTCTATTGTTCTTTTGTTACTATTCTGTTACTGTTTTTTTGTTATTTTTCTATTATTGTTATTGTTTATTGTTATAATTTGTTACCTGCACATAGTTAGTGTTCTGGAAAAACGTTCCTTGTCCTTTTGAGGACAAGGCGTCGTTCTTCCCGGAGCAAGTGCTTCCCTGAATAAACGTCAGCCCCCCGCTGTCCAAATATACATGTCTACCACAGACATGAAACATGGTCTTGCACGCACCATTTCGGCCGCGATCGCTCAGTATTATCAATCCCAAGGCATAGCCTACGATATCGACGAGAATACCATCAGCCAAGTCTCTAATTTCTTCGCTCCCCTGCCCCTAAGGCATGCGTCCCCCCGCCCGCCGTAGCGGCTTTCCTCGCGACCCAAGCGGCTGCCCTGCAGACCGACTCGCCCGCGTACCCCGACTCCGATATGGAGCACTCAGACACCACGTCCGTTACCTCCTCCTCCCGGAAGAGGACCGCTTACAGCTCCACCGGCTCCTCGGAGTCATCCGACTCCGAAGGAACGACGATACAGCCCAATTCACGCTAGTGAAATCCAAGCGCGGCCCGAAGCGCGCCGCGACTTCCCGCACTCCCCCGCCCAGGCAGCCGCCGCCGCCGCCCGTGCAACCCCCGCCGCTGCCTCAACCTCCGCAGACCCCATCGTTGCCCCTACCTCCGCAGCCCCAAACGCTGCCGCCTCTCAGTCGTAAGACACCACCGCCAAGCCAGCAACCCGCTGCGCTCCCAAAAGTCCCGGCCCCTGCCTTTCTCAGAGACGAGGCAAAATTTACACAGCTGTCCAAAACCCTCTACGATAAGGGTTTCAAATATGACCAAGCCACCAATGTCGGCGAGGCCATCAAAATCATGCCGGCATCTATAGAAGCCTTCCGGAATATAACCCGTCTCTTCACGGCCGAGCGTTTGTCCTATCACACATACGCTCTCGCCGAAGTAAGGAAAGTCAAGGCAGTACTTCGCGGAGTTCCTTATGAACTCGCAAACGAGGACATTCTGGAGGACCCTTCCCCATAGAGGCTGTGCACAAGATGCACAGCAGCAGGGGCGAGAGATTTAACCTCGCCCTCCTCGTTCTCACCAATGTGCCGGAGGCGAAGGCCATCTTCCGCGAGGTACGCACTGTGTGCGTCCAAGCTGTTACCCAGCGCAGTGCCACCGCTGCCAACTTTATGGGTACGCGGCAGCAAACTGT